AGAGGTAAAACCAGAGCGGAAATATGTATATTGAACCTGAGTAAGTGATCTATGCTCCCGTAATCACAGTGAAGTATAGGCTGACAGGACCCGAACTATTCGTGTAAACAAATGAAAAGAAGAATCAATATCGCTACAGTATCCCTATCACGACAGGAACACTGCCCACTCGGGCTGAATCAACGATTGATGATATCATAGTTACATCGGAAATATAAAGAGTCTTCAAATCGCCTAGTGCCTGTGAGTTTGCTTACATGCAGTGAGGAGGATGCCACCTACAGCCTGTAGGTAGGCTAGCTGACTCCTAGCTACCACTGCCAATACGGCGATGAGGCTAATCATCGCACAACGCCATATAATCCTCCAGGCAGGGCTGCCAGCAAAAGCTGCAGTTCTAGAGAATTTATTCTGAAAAACAATACATACAAAGGAACGAACCTGGAACGCTCTTTCCCAAAACGAGTCCTTCACCACTACACCAACTCTACTATACTCTCTCCCTTGTTGAATAGGATTCCACAACTACTTCAACTTCTACAGACTTACCAGAAGATGTGATATTTGAGTTTCGCTGCTAACCAGCACGGGAACCACCAGCACGGGGACATATGATAGCATCCTCAACAGGAGTAAAGCACACCCTGTGTAAATTAGCCACTTCGGGAGGACGCCATCGGGAGCAACTGAGAAGTGACATTCTCAGGAATCGAACCCAGATCAAATGCATCAAGAATGAACACCATAACCACTACAGTACAAAGCGTTATGCAACTCGGTGTATACATAACTGTGAACAACAATTCCAACTATGAACGAGGATTCTAAAGATTTGCCAAACGATTCACACAAGTATCAGGTTGAAGATGATTTCAAGGGATCTTGAAGTCAGCAAACTTGAAAGTGTTTTTCAAAAAAACTTTTTTCATAACAACTAGGTCTCTACTCTCAACTACTGCTCACCGTCTCACGTGAGAGATCTGACATATGAATTTTGAAATATCATCACCTAGAATCGAACCTGGGCCTTACACATCACAGCCCATAACCATAACCATTAGCCCAGACTTCTACCCACCAACTTACGCGGGAGGTTTTCTATGTACACTTGCTCACAAGGTCCGTCACAGATTAAAATTCCGCCGGCTCCCAGAACGAAGACGTAAAGAATCGATATGACCAAACAAATAAGCATCCACATTGTGATGCGACTCGAGGATGTGTCTGAAAGCGAACCTCCTAAATATCTTTTGCACGCATGCACAACAAGCAGCTACTTTTGACACAACCGTAGAAAGGCGGCAAAGATGGCGCTGCACCAGAGTTCCAAATTGATAACGAAAGTGCGGTAAACAAATGCTGAACAGGTGGGTCTTCGAGTAGCAGATTCGGCTCAGTCTTTTTAAGATGGGAGCTCTCTACCATAACACCTGCTGTTATCTGAATTACTCATGGTGTGGTATGAAAAAAACCATCTCACAGAATCCCAACAAGAACTCACCCATAGCAGTAAACCCGTGAATGTTGTGACTACTGCAGCTATCGCCAGCACACCGTTGACTTCTCTCATAAAGGGACAAACAATTATCAGCAGAGACAAGAATGAGAATATGATGATCCACCATTCAACTGAAATAAGTATCATTAAAATCTTCGCTGTGCGCCTCAAAGATACGCCTCTAACCTGTGATTGCATCAATTATGATATTCGTAGTGATTCCCATCGCTGCCATTAACCCTATAATGGAGATGAAATATTCCAGGAATATCGTCTGATGAAAAAATAATGCAATGATTTACAGTATATAAAAAAACAAAAAAATATTCTTCTATTTCTCGAATGAAAAACTACAAAACACGTTGAACAAAAAAAATTAACGCGGAAAGAAAGCCGCAAATTTTCATCTGCCTCTACTTCAGCACCAACCGCAAAGTTTGAAATACAATTGTTTCTCCCTTATGTTCGAGACCAGATAATATCAGCCTGAACTCTATGAATTTCGAGACGCCTTCTCCACTTATTCGATCCAGTGTCTACTAGCCCTACCAAATGGGTACAACCGAACTCATAATTTTGTGGTGACATCGAAATTCCATGACGATCCTGAATGGTTTAACGAGTAGATAAAATTATACCGTTTATGATAATTAATTCGTTTCAATTTTGTGGCGCAGTGACGCAATAACCTACCATAGAAGCAATCCTCCTTCCGAGTTTCCCACCGCAAAACTCAGCGAGAAAAGTATACTCTCGCTCGAACAATGGGATGCCTCTTTCCTCAGCATATTCCTTAACCTAATACAGCGGAGCGAAGCATTTTTTCTTTACCATTTTCACCAATCTTACCTTCTCGTGACTTAACGCTTTGCTCACGATCCGTATGCAAAGGAATATCGAAATTCCAGTCATAGCTTGTATCGGGATCGCCAACAAACCGGTAGTAGTGAACATAAAGGGTACGGATAAACCGATAGTAACCAACGCATTCAAACATATTAGAATAAATTGCCTGAGAAAAATGACCATATTTGAAAATAGCCAAATTCATTAAATAATTTCAGCGATTTACAACTTATCATTGGAGTTTCACCCGTGATATGAAAAACACATTTTACGACTATTGCAAGGCGGAAATATCGCGTTTTTCACGCAGTTTCACGCCACTTCACGTGAAACGGGTGAAACTCCATTATTCATCGTCGAACCAAAATGATGAATCACGCAGGATGAGCTCGGAAGAGACTACACATCCAGCACTTTCTAACAAGCTTGATCACGCTAAGAAATGTTGGATCTCAACTCCTCTCCCAACGTAACCAAGAAGTTACAGATTGAGAATCAACCACGAGAATCACGACTAGCCTGCGCCAACATACACACAGCTGTTGGGCCTGCACGAAATTAGCACCAAGTAGGCGTAAAATAGAAATTCGAACGGTGACCCAACCGGTGACTCTGTTGAAATACGACCATATTATTGAGAATTGTTAATGTGATTTTTCACGCCAACAGAAATTGCCCTCCCGCTGAGTGCCATGTGAGTGTGTGAAGAGATGCATGTCGTCGAATACATGTGTTGATGACGGTATGAAAAGAACGAGAAAATTTTGGGGATTTCTTGTTGGTTTCTGTACA